GTGGTGAAGTCGTCAGGGCTAAATAGAAGCAATTTTTTTGGGCACATTCGTTAAGTTCGAGCTTTATGGGCGGAAGACAAAATTTCCTGCTAAGAAGCCTCAGCTCGACATAAGCGCCTCGCGTGACTAGCGACGCACAGAAAGCGGCGCTGGCTTCGCTTAGTTCCAATATCTCATCGCATAATGCTGATGATATTCTAGGCCTGTACGCATACTACGCACTCTGCCGGATCTGCGCGCGTCTCAGTAAAAGTTGGAGTGCACTTAAAGGCTTGGAGACATGGAAAGACGAACACGCAGACTAAAATAGTGAGGTCATGGCCCACTCAGCTAGATTGATTTAACTCTTGATAAGTCAGAAAACAAAATACAACGAAGGTCACGATGGACGTCTTTGGCACTACTCGATCGCTCTTAATTAAGAAATAAATCATTGAGACAAGAAAACATAAAAGGGACATACACACCAACGTCTCAAATGTGTGTATGTCCCTTTTTGATTCGTTTGTCTGAGGTTTTATTTCTTGATTATTATTGTTCAACAGCTCGCCTGCGTTTTGACTCTTATATCAGTTGATCGGTCTTATCGGCCTATAACCTTGGCTACACCTTGCCTGGCATAGTTTAGAGAAGCGCGATCTTGTAGCATCATTCTTGTTATTAAAGCGAAAACATTTACTGTCCCATGGAGCGAACCGGTGTTATCAGCTTTTGAAGCCGCGCCAGACGGCACCTAAATTGCCCTGTCCCATAGAGCAAAGCCTGTAGCCTGTAGCAGCCACCCCATTGGCTGGCGCGTGGTGTGGTTCCAAGGAATGCCACCCCATAGAAAAGCCCTCTCCATGGCGCAGCGGCCCGGCTGCCGGTAAGAGGGAGCGGCCGGCCGCAGAACCGGAAGACGCACGGGCAGACTCCGGAGAGGCCGCAGGGCCAAGCTCAGCGCGGTGCGCAGCTTGCAGGAATACGTATACGAATACTTTCGGATTCGGGTACTATAGCAGTGTTAAGTGTCTTTGTAGTTTTCTTTTTAATGTTACTTGCTGGTGAACTCGATTCGGCCGAGTTTCCAACTGGGGCGAATCGAGTTGCCATGGTTTCACCGCAGGAAGCACCCTGGAATCGTAGCTTTTAGAGGGACTGAACATTGTGGGAAGCCGACGAGGAAGACGGCGCGGGGAGGCGCGTGACGGGCGGCGGAGCGGCGCTCGGGACTGGCGCCCGTGGTCAGCGCGAGGCGAAGGCGCGAACCGAACGGTCACGAAGCGGGCGAGCTCCGGGAACTGGGCCGTGCACAAGACAGGACCCTGAATGGAGCGCCAGGGACCCTGGACAGCCACCGAGACATTACACCAAGGAACAGTAAAATGTTTACTCATCCGTTTTAACGTGCGACTTCTTGGGAGTGCTAGCACGGCAGGGACCGAACGGGCGGCAGTAATTATTGAGCGACCCACAACCTGTATGCCAGCGCCGAAGCTGCCCTCGAGCGACTCAACTCTCTGATGTCCCACCACTGCGGCGGCGCTGGTGTCGGTACTGCGCATGTGCCTACGCTTCTCCTCTTCGGGATTTGGCTTCCGCGCACGCGCAGTGTCAGACTTAAGGGGGACATTTACAATTTTTTTTTTGTACACAAAACTCGTTTTTTTTTACACAAAATTTGCGCTTGTATACAGAAAACAGGCATTTACAGTTTACGAACGCGGGCTCGTATGTAAACAATTCATTGGTACGTACATGCGGAATGTGAATTCGTCTCCTTCTTTAGCGGGGTTGGGGTGACGTCAGAACTCCAAGCCCTGACTGGCTCTGGTGGAAGGATAAAGGGTAGACCTCGAGCCAATCTGCCTTCAGGTCTATGCACTATCCTTCGATCAGAGCCAATCAGGGCTCGGCGTTCTGACGTCACCAGAGCCCCTGGAAATTAAACCAGACGAACTTGCGCTCCGCTTACGGCGTGCAAGTTGTTCTGCTCTTTGCGCACCTCGTGCTTTTGTTTAGCCTCCAAATGCGTCCTCGTGCTTTTGCTTCCTCCGACCTCAACAAATATCGACGCGCGCTCGAATGCCTCGCCATCGAGCGTTTGCTGCACGTTCTTTACGCCGTCCTTTGATTGAAAACACCCTCCTTCTATTCCGATGCGCCAGAGACGCCATTGGGAACGTTTGCTCTCTGTATAAAGCTGGGCTCTAGGCTGAACTCTCGGCGAGATCGCCGACCTCCGCGACTGGCCAAAGTCAAGGTCAAGTGCTGCGCTGATCCACACGGCGATTTGCAATCTCGTCGACTTTCTCGCCGAGTGTCTAACATAGAGCCCAATGAAAAGGAACGTATAGGGCGAAACTGGGAAAAGAAAACCGTTTATTTTTGTCCGTGTAAAAAAACCACGCATCGCAGAAAGCTGAAACCCCGTGAGAATGAGACGCTAACGGCTGGGATAGAACGCGAAAGTTTTTTGAATATGACGTTAACTGGAATAAAATATAATTGACTAAAATTATATTTTTCTGAGCCCAATTTTGTCAAAACGAGAAATCACATTGCGGACACCTGTAACATATATTTCAGTAAAAAAAAAAAAAAAAAAAGAAGTTTGTCTGAAATAAATTTATGTAATCTTTCTTGCTGACGAGTGTTTTCCACTCAAATAAATCGCACAAGCGTCCGCAGTGTCAAGTTTTGTTTTGAGGATATTAGGCTAAGAGGTACGTCGGCTTATATAAATAAACATTTCGTTTTTTTCAATTATCATTTGATCCGGGGAACTTTATGTTCTCAAACTCTCGCGTTCTATCCCAACCGCTAGCATCACATTCTCACGGAGTATGAGCTTTTTGCGATTAATAGTTTATTTATTCTGGCCAAAAAACTGAGTTCCGTCTCCTCTGGACCTCTGTAGCTCAGAGTGGGACGTAAAGCTGGGAGATCCAGCGGTGCTCTGAATGCCAGCCGCACAAGGCGCTCGCGCCGAACTGTGGAGGCGCGTGCGTTGGCCTTTCAGAAAGTCACTAATTTCTACTCCAGTGTGCTGAAATAAAATTCCTTAATAATCCTTACTTAGAAATTGTGGTTGAAGGGTATTTGTTATGCTCATAACCTCCATTAGAGAATATTTGTGGCTACTGCTTGGTCATAAAAACTGTCAACTTGATCATCGCTCCCAAAGTCATTGAAATAATTTCGGCCTATAACGTGCCCTTATTCGTGCCCTATTCTTCAATTAATAACCAAGCGCTCTAAACATACGGCTCTGATTCAGCCGTTCAAATTACGCAAAACTTGCAGGCACCAAGGCCACCGGATTTTCGAGGAGTGGGATGAATTCCACCGGTAAATTATTTACTATAAGCTTAATGAAATAGGTGACGATGCCGACCAAGATGTGGCATTTCTTTGGAGTAAAATTAAGGGTGAGAATAATGTTTGAACGCGACCGACTATATGAAGCTTTGAAACTTTTTGATTCATGACTTTGCACTCTCAAAGTTAGGGAGCGATGTCTCATTAATACAAGAATCTACGCAAAATGTGAGAAGCATAATCACTGCACAAAGATACCGAATTTTCCTGTAAAAACTTAGGCAGTACTAAATATGTATAGTTGAAAGCACAACACCTGTTTTAACGATGTCCGAGGGCGGGATTCGGCTGAAAACCTTTCGCTCAGATCCCCTTAACATGGTGTCAGGTATGACAACAGTGTACCGTTGAGCTCTCTCCACGTCAATGTATTTTGGAATCCGACAGTTTGTGCATAACGCTTTAAGTGTTTGAACCCGGTGCATCGGTGGGTTCTTTACGTTGTACACTACACGAAATCCTGCGAATAGCATTACAGACACAAATACACATTTCGTCGCTATACACACACAAATGACAAAACTGTGAAATATTTAGACTTTGGGAAAGAGTGCCTGAGAAACCGCAGTGTTAACTGTGGTGCGTCTTTCCAGTTTTCTATTGGTCTTTAAGTCGACCGTTTTAAGCCGAGTCCCATTGAAAATATGCATACGCATTTCCATCTTCATTTTATAGCTTAAAAGAAGTTGTAACAAAATCCTCGACAAGGGTTGATTAGTTTCTCAGCCTCTGTTTATATGAACGAAAGTTCCATTGCTCGAATTGCGCTGTTGCAAGTCTGTGTTAAAGCCCCTTTACACTCTTGCAACCAAATACGACTGAGAGAGACGACACCTGCTGAAACCTCTTAAAACTTTTTAGTACGAGAGAACACACTGGCACTCTTGCGCCATCTATACGGTGACCCTGTAACTGCATTTCACAAGACCGAAGATTTTGCGAGATTTACGAGGTAAAATGTGCGTAATACCTATAAGAAAGGCTCGTTTATAATATCGACCAAAGTTTTTCGAGCCAAGAAAGAAAGGATAATGTGCGAGAGAAATAAAAAATATGCCTGACCGCCAAGTTTACACTCCTACGCGATAGATGGCGCCAGTGTGCCCTCTCGTTGCAAGATATATTAAGAGGTTTCAAGGCACCCGGTTTTAAGAGGTCGCAAGTGAGTGAACGGACCTTTACAGAATATTACGACTGTTTCAAACAAGCTTACCGACTGGTGCCAGTTATCGGGTACTCCTGCCCCACATCAAGTCTTAGGCCAGACTGCTGCTTTGCGGTACATGCGGCATCAAATATTAATAGTATTTATGAAATGTGGTTCTTAATATCGATGTTAGAAGTATTTCAGGTCAGGGCTAAAATTATTTCTAAAAATATGGAAATATACGCAAACGGGAAGTAGGCTAGGGCAACTCGATATACGGGACCAGTGTGTCAACTTGTTGCAAGCAGTCATTAAGTGTAGTAATGCAATCGGTCAGTGGTGCAAAGGCCAGAATCAGTTTTAATTATCATTGCAGCAATAGCAGCGGTAGTCGAAGAAGTGGTGGCGGTAAATTGTGTGTCTAGGCTGTAGGGCGACAGGAGGGCAGTCTGCATCAATTATGTCTGAAATGCTTTACTGTGTGTTCACTTACCTGAAACTTGAAGGAATTCCTGGAGTGGTACATTGGCATCAGGTGTGTATCTTTGTACAGAACGTTCAAACAGTTCGTACAAGTGTGCACCGTTCATTTCTACAGTATAGGAATAGATGAGCAGATGCTCACCACCCAAAACCTCGAACAAATGTTTCATAAGAATTCTACCTGAAAGGTGAATCGGATAAACCTAATGAATGTGTAATTTTCTGGTGTATGGGTTCGCATAAATTAAATATGACAAAAACTTCAATATCGCAGGTAAAAACGACACATACCTTCCAGTAGTTGTGTCCTTTTTATTTACTGCAGTCTCCAGGTTTTTGTTTTGTTTAATGTACACCAGCTTGTTTGTGCACTTACATTCAGCTAATAATTTTAGCAATTTGACGAGTTAAAGGGAAGCTGTTTTAACGGATAGCCCCGGCACATTTGATTGATTTTAAGATTATGGCTCTTTTTAGTATAAGATGTTTCCGTAAAATACGAGGCTTAAATATTTTAGATACGCTGTGTAGTTTAGTGGATATCTTATCTCAAAGTTCGTTCTCGGCGGCTTACGGCGAAACCGAAACTACCGGCTCGAGAATGACGGCGACCCTGGTGATCAGCTGCATGCCCATCCTACGATTCAAAGCTCGTACCGCGGTACTTCACAAAACCCTGACATTGACGAATGCTGGCTTGTACACCGCGCCATATATCTCTCCGCTTCAACGCGTTCATAAAACCGTGATTGCCGCCCTTGAGACACAGACCTAGGATCAATAACGAAGCAGTGTTTAAGCAACACGCGTAGCGCAAGCACCAAGTTCTAGATGACGTGGCTCTCCCCAAAAGACTACTCCTAAACCAAGCATGTTTCCTGTAAAGAAGTATTGGAAACCGGGCCCGCGACAGGCTGCCATTAGCCGCATACCGAGAAGCCATCTGGTGTCGCTGCTTGCAACTAAGGCGAGGAGAGGACTTCATCTGGCAGTCGCAACACGCACTGTGTCGACGGTGCCATATATTTATATCATGCACCTAAGTATATCATGCACCTATATATACAGGGTGTTTTTTTTTATTCTTACACATTTGTTTAAAAAAACCGTGAAAGCTACACTAATGCGGTTTGTGCAGGTGGGTTATACGTCCAGGCGGACATTATGTGGGTGGCTAATCTTTGCGATAAGTCGGCTAATTAACTAAAATTCATTACTTAACTTTTTAATTACTGAAAATAAACATAAGGTTTCAATTAGAAACTTGCTGAACATCATCGAAAACCCCTAAATCAACTATTTTTAGCAAGATATAACGCCGGGGCAGCTTTTTACGGCGTTCTGTAAAAGCGCTTCATTTGGACGCGTTTCTAGATTTCGGTTTCTTATCGGAGCGCATCTACGCGCCCGCGATCCTGCTCCCCGGCGGTCGCGGCGCGAAGCCATCTCCTCGCCTCCCTCGTAGAATGGAGGTAAGTACGGCGCACGTGCGTTGCGCGTCTCAGCCACTGGGGAGCAGGACCGCGGGCGCGGTGATGCGCTGCGATAAGAAACCGAAATCTAGAAACGCGTCCAAATGAAACGCTTTTACAGAACGCTGTAAAATGCTTCCCCGGCGTTATATCCTCCCAAAAATAGTTAATTTAGTGGTTTTCGATGATGCTCTACAAGTTTCTAATTGAAACCATATGTTTATTTCCACTAATTAAAAAGTTAATTAACGAATTTTAATTAATTAGCCGATATATCGCAAAGATTAGCCACCCACATTATGTCCGCCTGACCGTGTAACCCACCTGCACAAACCGCATTACTGTAGCCTTCACGTTTTCTTTTTAAACAAATGTGTAAGAAAAAAAAAAAAAAAAAACCTGTATATATATCATGCGCCGTGGTACCGGCCCAAAGCAAAGTTCACACGTGCGCAGAAACAGAAAATACAAATCAATGAATCACGCACAACGTGGAACTGACGACACTTTGATTGCTACACCACTTTTTATATTATGCAATTAAAAAACACACTCATTCTCAGGTGACTGTCCTCACTATTACGAGAGTTACGCAAAGGTTGCCTCGTTTTGTTCAATATTTCGAGTAGGGTATAATACCGAACGCCTCCGAGTCCGGGGCAAGCCTTTAAAGTGACCGAATAAATCAGCCCTGTAACGTATCATGCTACGATTTACCGCAGAGCTGCCTGACGGTAGTGGGAGCATGGCACATAAATTTCGAAGAGCCAAATTACGTAAGTAAAAAAACAAGAAGAAAAAAAAAAACACAGGAACGGGTGGTTTATATTAGTCCGCGAAAGGCCGTCCGAGACAATCCGGGAAACAAAATCAGTTTTTTTACAACTTTCGCAGGATGGAATGGGGATGAATATGTGAGGGCTAAGGAACCTTCATGTGGAGCACACGAAGGCGCCCTAGTGAGGGCCAGCGCACCGGCGACAGGCGGGAAGGCCGTAATCGTCGGGGGGTGGGGGGCAAGGGGGGGGGGGGCGGGGGCGGGGTGACGTGGGTAAAGAAAACGCACAGTAGTCTCTACTGACGGGAGAAAAAGAAAAGGCCCCATTTGTAGGGTTTTTGAGTGACTTCGAGAAGGAAAGTACAACAAAAGCAACTGCTTCTTAAGCCTTCCGTTGTTTTTTGTGTGGATCTCGAAAAGCGATTAGCACTTCCCCCCCTCGCTCTCCCGTGCAAGGTTTGCGAAGAGGGCGAGGACGGTGCGCGACCTGTCCTCGATTGGTTACTGCGAAAATTCGGCCTCTCCCAGGTCCGGAAAGGTTCAAACATTCAAAGTTCAGTCCGGGCTCGGGAACAGGGTAACGCCAGCGTTGACCTCAAAGGCGACGTCGCCTCCGACTTCCGAACGTTCCCTCACAACCGTTTCGGGGGCTGGTTTGGATCGCCCTTAACCGGTTTTCTCCGCCTACGGCTCCCGTCTGTTAACCGCGCATTATCTGACGGCCGCAACAGCCGACAGATTGCGGTAGCCGTCCCGATAGCTTAAGGGCTGTCCAAACAAGAGGCTTAAAAAACGTGTCAAGTGACAGAACTCCGCCATGTGGCGAGCAGTGGTCCTCTTCCGTTCGTGTTTTTTGCTGGGGGTAAATTTTTCCTCCGCCGATGTGCCTTTTTCTCCCTCATGAAGACTTAGAGCATGCCCATCACGTGGGTCCAGACAGCCACTCACAAGCTCTGTTGACTTTCAATTAATCGCGCAAGGACTCCGCTGCTGTTTAAGTCACGATAACGAGAAAGGGAAGGATACAACGCGCGGCAGAAGAGATGGACAGTCACACCATTTGAATGCTGCGTGTGACGTGAAGTCTCACGAGCACAGCCGTCACAAAAAAGGGGAAGAGGCAAGAAACAACTACGTGATGTTTGCCTGGTGGGTGTCCAAACTAAAAATGGACTGCTGGACTTAACTTTCCCTCCATATAACGGAAAATAGTTGCTTTTCTTGTTTTGAAGCATATGGCGGCTTATGACAGCTCAGCAGCCGCCCGGTCTCTCCAAAAGCAGACGACATGTGTGTAGCTGAAATTACTCTACGAAACACTGGTCTTATTTGCTTTGTGTCCATATATTTCTGTCTTTTTGGAAACGAAAAAAAAAAAAAAAAAAAAAAAAAAAAATTACACTGGCCATTACAGCACCGAAAACGCGCGTGCTGTTTGTGATTCGAAAGGATGGTCCGCTTTTGGTGCGACCGGGCGGCAGCTGAGCCGGCGTAGACCGCCGGGGCCCCGCTGCAGTCATCCATTGGTTGTTGCGGCAGACAGAGTGTGCACGGCTAGCAGACGGAAGAAGTTGGTGTACCAACGATCAGAGACCGAAGACGAGGAAATGGACCAGAGACGTTTTGAAAAGGAGCTTGTGGCAAGGAGCTGGCGGCCGGGGAGCGCGTGGCCGGGGCCTCGTGCTCGGAACGGATGTGATTGACACGTCAAATCGAACTGCTTGTTGCTTGTACATAATGTAAAATAAATGTTGCTTTAACGTAACCAACGTTGACTACCAGAAGTTCCTGCCGTTGGTATGCAAACCAGTTCGTTTTCTTAATTTTTACTCATGTAAGTTCGTTCTTCGAAATTTTTATGCAATGCTTCCACCCCCTTTTATCACCGGTGTGTTAAATTGTAGCACGATAAGTTACCAAGCCGATTTACGCGGCAATTTTAAAGGCTTTACCCTGGGGAGTGCTTATATCTAAGGTCAAGGAAGCATTGGTACAGGCAATTATTATTAGCCGTAGTCGCTAAAACAAGCTGTTCGAAGCGGGTGTCGATGAAGCAAACAAAATTAAACAGGGGTGTATTAACAGAAATAAACGCACTGAAAGGGTCTAGTTTTGTGTGTAAGTCTGTGGAAAACGCGTTTTACACCTTTAAGTGTGCGTTTTTTTTTTGTTTTTTTTTTGTTTTTTTTTAGAGGGAAATTTGCGAGTGTTTTACGGCTGCGAATCTAGGCTGTTTAGCGTTCATTGCGCAATAGTGATTAGACGAAGGCGCGCCTATACGACCCCCATCCACATCAAAGCGGCGAGGGGTGGGAGTTGAACTAGGCATCCTTCGATTATTCAATTCAATCTTTCGCCCTACCCGCTCCGAGCTGCGCTTGGCCTTAGTTGCTTTAAGCTAAGGGTCCCTCACGGGTGTGGTATAAGGGGCGGATGCCCTATTTTAGTTGAAATGATCTCTTTTCTCAGTGGTTCGAGTCACCTAGAAGGTGTTCCGATGTTGGAAGCACAAAATATTGCTGAAGTGCCTCGGCCGTGCCTCAGAAAATCGTCGTATATAGAGTAAGTGTCTGGAACCGTAAATATCGGTGTAATTGCTTTTCTGCAGACATTGATGCCGCAGTTTCCGACGAGAACGCCGTTGGACGTCGCCACTGTCACATGATCGCCTACGCTAGCTATTCAGGGTGAGGAACCATGCGCACCACCCGAGAGGGGAGTCCTGCTGGAGTGGTGGCACTATTACAATAGCCAGCGAAGTTACGGATGCAGCATGTAATTGAAATGCACTAAATCTGATGGGCGAGACGCGAGACATCAGGCACCAAAGTGAGCGACTTTCGCTACACTCGTAATGCTTTTGTGTTTGGCTTTCGCGTTTCACTTTTGCGTCTGAGGTTTTGACCAAGTTACCCTCGTAAAAGGGTATTCGGCGCTGAGACATACCTTGCGTAATATCGTAATCGATGGAGGTAAAGATGTCCCTCCCGGGGATCAAGGCGCCGTTCACGGGTCCCCAGAGTTTGTCGTTGAGCGGAGAGAGACCGGCAAACCAGTAGAACATGGCGTCGGCAATCAGGTTGCCCATGGTGCACTCTGTGAGGCGGCACACTTGGCGGCTTCCCTCGAGGAGTACCTTCGTGCTTCCAACCACGCGATTGCGGTCTTTGTATGCGTCGGCCGAGATACTCGAAAGCAGCTGTTCCAATTCGTGCCCCCGAGGCAAGGCTGCGCGAAGCAACATTTACAAAATACACTAGAAGTTAGTAAGCTCACGTCCCCGCGTGGCACGGTAAGAAATTTCTGCGAAAATCCCCAAAGGCGCCGAGCGACGCACCTCCAAGAAAAATCTTTTGGGAGAATCCCACAAGGCCTCTCGCCAATCCCACATAACAACGCGCGGTCATGAAATCGTGAGGCTAGGGCCGGCTGTACGCTAAAGTTGAGGCTTGGGCGAGCTGGTACATACTTCGGAAATTAAAAACAGCGCGGAAAGACGAGGACCAGACAAAGAAGTGACACGGACGTAGCGCTGCCCATGTGATGTATCACCAATAATAATAAAACAATGATAAAAACATTGAAAAAACATTGAAAAAATAATAATGAAATGCGCCATGACACAGCCGTACAGAGTATGTGCTAAAAATCGAGCAAGTCACGGAACCAGAAAATTCATCTCTTTGCCTGATAGGCAAAGAGATGGTGTCACTTCTTTGTCTGGTCCTCGTCTTTCCGCGCTGTTTTTAATTGCCGGCTGTACGCTTCGTAGTTTTTTCAAATGGGTCAGTTACTTTTTTTTTCATATTACTGCAAAGTTTACAACACAAAGAAAACAAAGTGAGCACATCACAGAGCCGATACGTTCTTTCTTTTGTTACCTGCTTGTTTTCTTTGCGTCCCGAAATCGCACAATGCTGATCCAACATCAGCAGCTCCCTTAAAGGTTCCATGAAACCAATTTTGGGTTGGGATGAATGATTTTAAATTGGGACTTTACTAATCGCATATTGTTTAGTTGGCCAAAAGAAAGAGGCTAGAAAGTCAGAAGCCAGCTTTTCGGTACGAACATTTGAAAATATAACGGACTATTTTGTACCTTCTTGCCTTCGAAAGCTCTCCGTCTTTTCACTATGATACATACGCGTTTCCAAAAGCGCGTCACCGGCGCCAAACTGACGTCAGCAGAGCCCAGCTCTCGCACTAGAACACGAGAACTGCGTCACTCGGACGTATGCGCTCGTCAACAATCAATCCGTGGACGGATATATGGATTCGCTTTCGTCGCCAATGAGTGCCCTGACGGAACTTATTGTCACTGGGGAATGACAAGTTCTATGGTGTGCATAAAAAGCACGGTGGAAGCTAGGAGTCATCGCACCGGTGCCGAAGGAATGTCACGACTACCTGATTTCCCAATTCACATTTGAGTTGAGGATTAAAGCTAAGGAGGAAGGAGTAGGAAAATCGTTTCATGGCCCCTTTAATTTATGGGTGCCACGCGCGTAGCTTGGATTGCTGTAGTACGTCGAAAAGACGATGAGAGTCGCTGCGTACTCTAAGATTGTCGTTACAACCATCCACTCCATAGTATCTACAACGTGACCCTAAAAAGAAAGAGAGAGGGCAGAGTGTAGCCAACATCCCCTGCGCTGAATTTTCTACGACAACTAAAAGGGGTCAGTGCAGTGCAGATTGTACATGAATGATCTGTCAGCGTTCGAGTGGGATTCATGTTCTTAGCCTCTGTTGCCTGCAAGATCACCTCCATTGTCCGCTACTTCCGGTTTCAGACAGCCAGATCCCGGCATCCCTCTCAGTGCCGCAGTATGCGGTGTGCGTTTTATAAAACAGCCATAAACCATTAAAAGAAAGAAAGCAAAAAAAAAAAGAGCTCTGTTTTACGTTTAGCAGTTTTTGGTCATGCTTGGAGTGTAGAATGCTTGCGCCGTCGCTCGCCCTTGGTATGTCTGGCACGGCTGTAGCTCAACCAAATGACTTGAAATCGTAATAAGTATTAGCTGTGGTTTTATTGTGAGACTGGTTATTGCTGGCCTTCTGTTGTACATTGGTCCTTAGCTGTCCACAATAACCCAATTGTCTGTTGTTAAGAGCGGAAAGACCCTGTTTCAGAACACATCAATCGGGGCGTCACCATCTTCAACCATGACACATGGCGCGAACCTACCAAAAATATTCTTCGGCCACAAAAAAAAAAAAAAAAAAAAAAAAAAAAACGCCGTGTTGAACAAACGAAGCAGCCAGTCATTTAGGCCACGATAGACCAACCAGCGTGAGCGCGAGCTTCGACGTAGAGCTGTGACGTAGGCCAACGAATGCTATAAAAAAGGCAACGCGAGCCAGGTCCAACGTTCTTTGCTCGCGCCAGCGAGACATCATCTTATCATATCTTTAAGTAAATCATCCGAAAACTCAGCTTAGGCTGATGAGACCCCTACCTTCTTTGCGCCTCATCTGACACCTGACAATGTTTTATCTTAACGTTTATGAAATTTCCTCGCTCGTTTAGTATGCGTGCTTCATTCATTCGTTCACTCGTCTTAAAAAAAACGGACGTGCCTTTGAGGATGTTTCATATTTAGATGTTCAGACATATAATCCTAATATTGCTGCTGAAGAAATAGCACCAGGACAGCGCATTATTGCCTAATAAATATTTAAAAAAAAGAAGACACGGAGACTATAATATATAGTATTTGTGTCTTAGGAATTCAAGGTGCGAAGAAAAAAAAATGGGATTAAAAGTAAATAGAACCGAGTCCTTCGTACTGCGGCATGTTATATACTACTGACGCAGACTGTTCGAGTCGTTTGTTGCAAATTATCTGCACTTCACTACTGCCGCACTTAGGCTTAAACAAATGAAATCCTTCGAGAAACCATCCAAAAACCTATGCTTTTAAACTTTTATCGAAACAATTCTAGGGCTTTCTAGATTAACCACAATAATTTCGTTCAATTAGTTATACTTTTGCACAACCTGAGACATAATAATCCCTTAATGAAAGCCTTGAGTACAGGTAACATGGAAATTGTGTAAGCCACCCGCCTAGTTTCAAACGAACGCGTGATAAAGTTTCTCCTGCTGTGGGTGTTGCTCTAGTTGTCGAGGGGTGGGTGGTCAAAAGGGGCAGGAGGAAGAGCGCGGTCTTTCGCTTGGTTTACATAGCCTAGACGGGGATTATCATGTCGGGTAGCTTGGCGGCGAATGTCTGCTGGTGGTGTGGTGTCCGTGTGGACGTCGCTACTCCGGCTGCGTTCCGCCAACTTTCCGGCGTCACGCCTTTTTTTATTCTCTCTTTCCTGTCGTTGTAAACGGCTGTAAATTGCTGTTCCCTTGCGAGCAGACTCAGTTGCGTATGAGACTTTGTGTAATCTTGTCAGTTTTTTTAAATTTCTTCTTGTCTTAGAGTTTAGGTCTTGATGTTTCTTAACCTGCATCCTCTCGTTCTGTGCGATTCTCCTTCGGGATGCAGGATTTACTTCTCGTTCTCCATATTATGTGTGTAACCTTCTTGCGTCCACGCAACGTGCCTTGAGGTTCTTAACGCTATGCAGGATTGGACAATGACTTGGAGAGCTGCAGTCAGATGTCAGCTACTTTGGGCTTGCCTGATGAACAGTTTCGTCAACCTCAAGCGCTTCGGCTACCTGGCTCAGTGCAGTAGCCCCTGTAGGCTCCGGAAGAGGATCCTCAATGTGTACCGGAATTCGGCTAGCAAACAGCTTCGAGGCCCTTTCGAGCTTTCCAAGGCGCTGTGGAAAGTGGAGAAAAATTCAGTTTTTCGGTGGACCACCTTAAACGTTTTTCAATAGTCGAAGTTCTAGTCAACAGGAGGGAGGTGTTTAAGATGCAAGGCCCAAGAAAAGGTAAGTCAGCGCTCTCTACCGCTCTTCGACGTTATTTTAATTATGATCAAGCTAGCATCTCGCGAAAGCCAGACATGATTCAGGCAGAGGGACCAGCATCGTGCTTTTATTATCAGACCGTTCCGCTCTTATTTATTTTCTTGCGCAATCGATTGCGAACAGGGTGCCGGCTCAGGAAGATCGGTTGTCTTTTGTGAAAGACTCGGTGAAGAAATTCGAGGATTTGATTCAACTGTCTTTTCCGGTGGAGCGGAGAAAATTTAATGATCTTTCAGTATTAAAAAAAAAATCAAGCGTTTTAAGAGGTCATTGCCCTTTCTACAGATGCACACATTTGGGCTGTTTCCAGTGCTCCCAGTGGGATCATTTATCGAATGGGCAGTGGCTGCAGTTTCAGAGCTTTTTTGAAAACACCAGAGAGGACACATAAGTTGGATAGCGCGGAGTGTGTAAAGTTTTAGCTGAGGATGAGTTAACTTTCACGTTAAAAAATATTAGGGGTTTTCGTGTTCCTCCATTGCCGTAAATGCTGTAAAGTTTTTGGTAAAAGACCCTAAGGAGGACTTCCTGTTCCGCGTGGTGGTCAATGAAAATGGTTCGCGGCAGAAGGTTCTTGCTGCATTTATATTGACTTGTTTAGAGTACGTCCACCTTGAAGATAGTTTGTCCCTTCGCCATCCAGAAAGGTTGCTTGATACTGATATCCTGTATCCCCTTCACCAGAATACCTATGTTTTGATGTCCCAAGGTATAAAATATTTATGTTATTCTTTCGGCAGTAACCTGTTGGTGAGCTGAGTGAGAGACATTCTCGTGTTGAATTTTATTTCTTTTCATACTCAAGTGAGGATTTCGATTGACGTTAGGTTACGAATATTGAACTGTTTTAAGGTCCACCGTAATAAAATTTAACGGAGAGTTTTATACAGTGGAGAGGTGTATGTATCGACTCTGCAGTGGCTTCGTTGTTGTCTGAATTTATATATGAATATGTTAGACAAGCAAGTGACATCTTCTGTAAACATCTTTGGGAGTAAGAAGTTTTGTGGCTCTGAGATTTTTTGACGACAGTTTGATCTGCGCCCCAAATAAATAGGTCGCAAGTAAGACTCAAAATGATGTTATTGAAATTGCGCCGCAGCTGAGGTTCACGGCTGGTCGTGTGTCATGGAGAATTTGCAACTTCTAGCTCTACGGTTGTTAAATTGTAAAGGTTTGTGTTTGTCGTATGAAAAAAGAGGAACCGAAGAGAGTCTTATCTAGGGTCTCTTCGGTTCTAGAGTGACAAACATAAATACCTGATGCCGACAAGCCTCAAGCAGATGCAGCACGCACCCGAAGCTATATTTGGCAGGCCTGCCTACTCTGGGTACGGGTGATTGCAAGCCTGCCAAAGATACCTTCAAGCACATGCGGCATCTGCTAGAAGCTTTTAGGCGTCAGTTGTTCCAGTTTGTCGCACAATCTTCACCAGAAAACAAGTTTTTTTTTCCCCTGAAGGGAGAGAAGACCACGTGGTGATGCCGACTCACCTTTGCTGATTGCTTTGTCCATGAGTACGGGCTGGCCGGAATAACGGATGACATTCCCGTCGCTGTCGAACGTGGCGTGGAGCACTCCCACGTATTTGCCCTGCCAGTAGGCCTGCACGACGAGACCCTGGCTGCCGTCGGCCCGCTGAATGACCACCGGGTACGGCCCGTCGGCGGTGTCGGGCGTGTTCTGCAGCAGGGCTGTGCTGAACAGGAAGGAGTGGGAGAAGCCGCCCACGACTACGCCCACCTCGGGCACATGCGTGGCTATGCGTTTGTCCTCCGTCAGACCCGAGTTGCCCAGGGCGATCAAGATGCGCACGCCTTTGCGTCGCAGCCGCTTGGCCTCCCGGCGGACGCACTCCAGGTCGTTGGTGAACTGCGTGTGGCCTGCACCCGAGCACGCGGGTATTAGACGGAGAAACATTGGCCGTCTCTTTGGAAATCCCCCAAAAGCGCTCTAAGGGCATAACCTCTACCCGTTCCTCCTTTTTCAGGAACAGTAAGGAGGCCACTCAAGAGCAAATTTAGAGAGCATTTTGTGAATATATTAAGACATCGCAGTGTCACGTGGTTATACATCTGCGTGATTTCATGATGTTACGTGAGATCGTGAGGCTATGATGTAAAGGTGCCACTGTGGCATTATAGAGGCTGCATGCCATGTACACAAAATCCCTGAGGCTGGACCTATAAATGCTACAGAATTCAATAAATAAAAAAATGAAAGCGCACACAGAGAAGTGGGTTAGTTGCATTCGTTGGAAATGAGTTAATCTAGTAAGGGGGCAACGCAACGATATTGGTACTTTGCGCAAATACCGCTTAGAACGAATCCCTGACGTTAATGATCCGCGAAACACCCGTCCATTTTCCACCCCACGCAGCCGAAGTCGCAGAAAAAAGTAAAGACATAAGAAAGACGTTTGCGAATCCCTGCAATGCGAAATTAGAGCGCAGCTCTTGAGGAAGAGGGGAGGGCGACGTCAATTTTTCCGTTGAAGTTAGTGGGGACACTTAACGTGCTGAATATAGCCGAAAGTTTTTTTCGCTAAATTTAGTGGAAAAATTTCCCTGTTAAAACCGCGCGCGCATGATGCGCGCTGTTTTTCCTTTTAATTGTTCTGACTGTGACGTCCCATGATGCAACGCGCGTGGTTGCGCTGATGCCGACGGCGACGCCGCTCAACCCGGAAGCGGGCGCCCAAGAGCTGGCTCTAGAACGAGCAGCGTTCAGCCCCTCAACTCGCAGCCAGAACAAGGGGCCACGTGATCTGGAGGCGATTATATGCCGCCAATGTTCACCATAACCACGCTCTGGGGTCGGCAAGGAACAGGACACGCGCTGAGTTCCAGAGAACTGCATATTGAGAGATAGCATGTGAAATTTAGCATTAGACCTCGAACGCTTCCCATACATTTACGGCAAGTTGCAGCTTCTTATTACACAATACAGATGGAGACACGAGGTCAGCTGTAGCTTGATGTACATTTGCAGTGTGTGCCGCTTGGAACGCCACGTGAAAGACAGAAAAGCGTCCGATGTTTGGGTGTTCTAGATGCCCACAATGAGCGAGCTAGAAGTACCAGAAAAACATGCGCGTGGCTGTGGGGGCTCCAGAGCTGCTTTTTGCGCGCCTGCCACTGTGCGTCAATTAACATGTCTGAATTGAATGTTTTCAGCCAGTGCAGAAATCATTTTAGAAACCACACTTAGGCTTGTCAAAATTGTTCGACTATACTTAGTTTCACACAAATGTTGGAGGGTTTTAACTGGCAATGATATTAAAACAAAGCACACTGATCAGTGGCCTCTAGCCAGTGCGGTGCAAATCCCTATTTGGCGGGTTTGAGTACCCAGCCGAAGTGTCCACAATCTGACGGAGGCCCACCTGAGATTTCGGTTGCACGTCATAAGATCTCCAGTTGGTCGAAATGCACCCGCGGTTTTTTCGCTGGGGCGTGCCAAATGCATTTCGTTGTTTGGTTGGTAAAACTCTCAGGTCTAAATATCTGCTCACTTCACCTTTTTTTTTTTTTTTTTTCTCAGAGCGCAGTCGAGATTACGAGCCGGTGAAGCCAATGAAGCTGCACCAAGAGAGCGAGGCCGTGCTATTCGCTTTCTTCCTGTGTCTTTGCGATCGGGCTAAAAATGAAGAAATGCGCGAGCGCAAGCTCCGCTCAAAGCATGGACCTCACACTGCAGAACCTGCAGGGACCCTGGCTTGAACCCCCCATCTGGATGACCATCACACCCTCGTGCGGTCGTGTATCAGTACTGCGCGATGCAAGCTGCAATCTCAGACTAGCAGTCGTACTCCACTGGCTAAATTTCTTATCTACAGCAAGTAACAATTTAGTCGTACAAAGCTGATGCTGTCTAAAAAAATAACGACTAATTTGGAACGCGCCATGATATTGAATTTTTAGTGCGTGCGCGCGTTTACTTTTGTCTACACCTTTAATTAGGCGCCTCTTACTAATGATGAAACAAAGTATAGTTGTGGGACTTCTGAGAAAATATTATAAAACAATGAAAACGGCATGTGAACTAAAAAGACAGAACAACAACATAGGCGGAATCAATTTGAGCAAACATAAAATCAGAGCGGTTATTACGATTTTGTTTTACATGCGGTAGCAGTTCACGCCATAATCAGTAGAGCTTTGAGCGTACCAAAGGCTATAAATGCGAGCTCTGTGGTTTGAACGGCTCTACCGAGCACGTGCGCTTGTCTGCTGGAAGAATGGTTAAAGGCAGCATGCTCGGGCTTGTAGGTTTTCACTTCCCTCGCAATTATGATGAAACCAAATACATTACTAAAAAGTGTTAGGTGAAGCAACGCTTATCTTTTGTATATATGCAATCCCCTCAGTTTTTACGAGATTACATGCTTACTTGTCGTTATTGATATCGTTTATAACCACACTGCAATTTGGCTCGTGCTTTTTTGTGTGCCATATGCATTAGAGACCAAGGAAAACCAGGAGCAAACTATTTCGCAGATTAGAAAAAAAGAAAAACAACCTATGCTACTAGACACAGGCGCCACAATACACACACATCACATGTGGTCGCTGGTGTAGGAAAACAAAGTTTCTTACCAAGAACAACTGCCACTGTATGAAATGCCTTGACAAATCTGGCTGTCAGCACGCGCTCTGTCGAGAATCCTTGGCAGCCAGTGAATAGTCAGTATCGGCGCCAAGATGATTAGCAGTTCTCAGTAGTTTGAGGTCTTCTATCGGCCCAGAGCTAGAATATTTTCTGCTTTTTATTGTAAGCAATCAGGAGGCAGCTTGCATCAAGCCAGAAGGTAATAAGATACTATGAACGGTAAGGAGAAACCCGTCCAACATTGTGATTCTGAATTAATGATTTTATTCCCGCGGGCCTCCGCACTCTAGTGGTGGCCATATCTCAATGGCTACCGCATACCTTTCCTCAAAAAATCATAATTAGGATTATGATAAAAATCTTTGGAGAAGGGGTGTAAGGAGGACCTCTTCTCCAGGGATTATTATCGTCACTCTTGTCCAGCTCGCTTGCACCTTTGTATTAATTGCATTATTATCAGTACAATTAGCGCATGAAGTCTGCATATTGTAGAAATGGTTTCTTTCCCTTGTGTCGCGTCGAAGCAGCGAGCTCGGCTGAGGCTGGTTTTCGTCAGTGGTTGCTACCTTTTTTGTGCCCTTGGAACTCGTTTTTTGTGATAGATACGTGAAAGATCTGACGTGCTCTTGTATCCTTCGGCGAACTTAAACTTTTAGGATTAGAATGTTGGGTGTTTCCACGTCAGGTCATACAATGACTGTCCGGGTCATACTTTTAATATTTCTGTAATAGATACATGCGAAAGCCATGTTCTTGGGAGGAACATTCAGTTATATGTGAACGGCGTAGCTAAATATTCCCAAAAGATATAAAATTGAGAAACTCGAGGCGTGGACATTGCCGAGATTTCACTATGGTAATTTGCACCGCCGCCAATGTCACACCGAAGCAGGCACGAAGGTAATATTTTTTCTAATTTATTTAATAAGCAATTTACAACATTTACACCAAATAATAACAAAAATATAGTGTTATATTTCTATGCAACACAAATTACGATACACGAAAAAAAAATTTAGAGACATATTCTTAAATTATTTATCAACGAACAACTTTATGAAAAACGTCGCAAAATATGCGAAAATGTGCATCGTAACATGCAGCTCACGAATATATAACAATATTTGCTTAACCATTATTGTAGTTGTTTTAGTAATTTGGAAACTTATGTAAATTTCTTTAAAAGTAGCGAAATTGCACGTCAGTGTTTAATTAAAATTGTATATATATATTTTTAAGCTCCCCTTCACTCTTTGCGGTAAGTTGAAATAACTTGTGATGGCAAAATGTTGAGTAGCATGTAACTTCCAATTTAGAAAAGTGACGATCGACAGACCTTCACTCCAATTGAGTTAGCTTGTCTTCGTTATTGGAGCTTTGCCGCTCGACGTCCGCGCTGAAGAGATAATCTCTAGGGCTGACAAAGTATGTACAACGGGGCTTTTCTATTGCAGAGCGTAGAAAGTCATCATAACTTAAAACCCTGGGCTGAGGAAGGAAAAGCTCGATGTACACCTAAACACTTCTTATGAGCTGTGAATGCGAAAGCATGCAAGCCGCTCGTCCGCTCCCTTTTTCGTGTGGATGCCTGTGGCGGCGCCATTTCGTCGGTGTTCAGACGAGCAGAAGCACCGCCGACGATGTGGATGCTGGAGGCGGCGGCATGTTGTAAGCAGCGAGACGAGCAGAACGCCGCCGAGCGCGCGCCAACGTGTCGGCAATCGGTGAAACTGACGCGCAGCGTCAGTTTCAACGACCGGCCACCCCATGGCGCTGCGTGTCCGGCCATTGGGACTGAAGTGTAAAAGGTGCCGTTGGCTAGCTTTGTGTGTGATTTGATAGCTGGGAGCTGCCGAGAAGGATTTAATAGCCGTTTGGCGCGGTTTCAAAGCTGATGGCGTCGGCTCGCTCCACGAGATAGTTAATGCTTTCGCAATGATATAAAAAAACGAAGAACGCAACATGGAATCTCAAGAACAGATGGATATATTCGACCACACTAAAGCAAGAAAAGATTTAAAAATCATGAGCCATTCCCCTCTGGGAAGGTGGATGACGAGCGACTCTGTTTAGCACATGGGACTGACCCGCCCCGAGGAGCCAGAGGAATCTAGACACGCTCGGCGGGAACGCCACCCGGCGGAGAGTGGACACGCGCAACGGGACCGCCACCCCGGAAGAGGGGAAAGAAAGGAAACTAGGCACGCAAGCACTGGGAACAACGACAAAGAGAGGGCGTTGCGAGCGTAGACATGGTCGACGCCGGTCGCACTGCGGCAAATCTTTGAGAAACCCTTATCATCTACCTG